GCTGCATCAGTAGGGTTATATGTTGACTGTGGTTCCCTCTATGAGTCGCCATTGTCAAGCGGGGCGTCGCACCTGCTAGAGAAAATGGCTTTCAAGAGCACGACAAACCGAAGCCACTTTCGTGTTGTAAGGGAAGTGGAAGCAGTGGGTGGTAATGTAGGAGCCTCAGCCTCTCGGGAGCAAATGGGCTACACTTTTGATGCTCTGAGAACCTATGTCCCACAAATGATTGAATTGCTGGTTGACTCTGTAAGGAATCCGGCCTTCTTGGATTGGGAGGTCAACGAAGAGGTATATTTTCTTTGTTTATGAATCTCTTCTTTGAAAAACTGCTTTTTCAATTCTTGTGCATCATTGTTTTGCAAACCAGGGTATGGACTTTCCCTCTTTTGTTGTGGTCTAGTGCAATATCGATTAAGAAAAAAAAAAAGGCACAGGATGACACACCTTTGACATGGTTTTTATAATGGGAGAGTGAAAAATAATGTGTATATCAGTATGTAAAATATATTTTCTAAAAACAATATATATATATATATACATATATATATATATGTATATATATATTATGGGAAGGAAAAATAGTCTTGATAGCCCCCTTCTAAAAAGACATTATGGGGAAACGTTCCCCTCTTTCACTTTAGTTTGTGCCATATATCAGTTATTTCTGGTCTTGTTGAATAATCTATTGTACAGATTCGAAAGGTTAAAGAAGAGATAGGAGAGCAGGCAAACAATCCACAGCGCCTACTTATGGAGGCAGTTCACTCTGCTGGTTATTCTGGAGCATTGGCTATGCCACTTTTGGCTACTGAATCAGCACTGAACAGATTAAATGCCCCCATTTTAGAGGAGTTTGTTGCCGTAAGATCTGTTGTCATTTTCGATACTTCATGAAAGCTACTGCTATTAATTGTTCAAAGCTAAAACTTCTGAGAATGTATTTGATTATCTGAATGTCGTGGGATTTGGAAAATCAGGAGAATTATACTGCACCTAGAATGGTACTTGCAGCATCTGGGGTTGAGCATGAAGAACTTCTATCCGTTGCTGAACCACTTCTCTCTGATCTACCATGTGTTCCGCGTTCTGAAGAACCAAGTTCTAAATATGTTGGGGGTGATTTTCGTCGACAAGGTGAATCAGGGGTGTGTATTGATTTGATTCTAGACCACTGGCATTTTCATATGTTTTTCCTTCTATATTTGTTCCCTACCAAATGCTGTATATTATTACTTATTTTCTGAAAAAACTGTCACAAGGGCAGGTTGCACATGTGGCTATTGCCTTTGAAGTGCCTGGTGGCTGGAAAAAAGAGAAAGAAGCTATTATTTTGACCGTTCTACAGGTACTCGTTTTTTGTGAGTCATTATGATTTCAAGAGATCTCATGTCTATATATTTGTATATTTTCTTTTGTTGGCATTCATGCACAAGAAAAGGAGGAAAGAAGGAATTGAATGGAAGTAACATTTCTTAGTACCGCAGATGCTTATGGGAGGAGGTGGGTCATTCTCAGCTGGGGGACCTGGAAAGGGAATGCACTCAAGGCTTTGTAAGCTTTCATATATATCTTCTAGTTTACAGCTGGCTTTCATAAGTGATTTGATTTACCTTTGCCACTATGATCTTGAACTTTTCAAGTTTTCCCGTTTGAGTATAGTTTTAACTTTTTTTAATTGCTATATGAAGTCAATTTCACTATTTTCTGTTCACATATCAGTAGATCATCTCTTAACTTGCTTTTATACAATGGAATCCAGATCTTCGTGTCTTGAATGAATACCAACAGATTCAATGTTTTTCTGCATTCAACAGTCTCTTCAACAATACAGGGTTATTTGGCTTATATGCAACCACAGTAAGGCACAATCTTTTCTAAAAACACAGATGTGATGTCTCTATTTAATTTTCTCTGAATTTTTTTATTCATTGAATGGTTGGGTTAGTTCGTCTAGAAAATAAGTTCCCTTCTATAATCTATTAACACAGCACAAGATATTTAAAATGTACTTCTAAGTTGAAGTTGTCTTGAACGTTGATCCGAAAATAAAATAAATTGTAGATTTCCGCATGTTGTCAATGACCCTTCAATCCGTTCCTCATTCAATTGATGATAAATTACACAGACTAGGTTTCCTATCGATTACTTCTTCATTTCCTCCTTCTTTTAAGCTCTTTTGAATTTTCGACAGAGTATTTTTAAAAGTATGAATTTTGAGCTCTTTTTCATGTGTCAATTTAGAGTTCTGATTTTGTGGAAAAAGCTGTGGACCTAGCAGTCAGAGAATTAATAGCACTCGCATCACAAGGACAAGGTTTAATCTGACTGCCTTGCTTTTTGTTTCCTTTTGTTAACTCTGATATCTGTCAAATTAAATATGGTCTTCCCACAATGGCAGTTTCACAGATACAGCTTGACCGTGCCAAGGAATCCACAAAGTCTGCAGTACTAATGAATTTAGAGTCCAGAGTATGCTCTCTTTCACTCTCTCTACTTGAACTGGTAGTTTGAATGATGTGGAATTTCTATCATTTAATCCTCACACCCCACTGGAATTAAGAATACTGTGACTCTTGCATCATTGCTTCCTTCTATATTATCTATCATGGATTTCTCTACACGCTTTGCCACAAATAGAAAGGAGAATTGTGTGCTTTTACTTGCCATTTGCCCAAGACTAACTGTTTTTGCAGATGATTGCATCAGAGGATATAGGAAGGCAGATATTGACTTACGGAGAAAGGTAAAAAAATTCAATCAGAGGCCTATTATTTTATTTATTTATCAATATTTTTTTCCTTTTATTTAAATCATCCTGCTGCTGCTACTTTAAACTGAGAAGTATCACTTAAATCATGGACATAATTTGTAATGAGAATTTGTGTGATTACCTTTTTTCAGAAAGCCACTAGAGCAGTTCTTTAAGGAAGTAGATGCAATCACTTTGAATGATATCTCTAAATTTTCTCAGAAGATTATTTCATCGCCTCTCACTATGGCATCCTATGGGGATGGTAATCTTCAATTAATTAATAATCTAATTCAAGCATTTGGTTTAGTTTCTGATAGTGCTATTGCAATCTGCTTGTCTTGCAGTTATGAATGTCCCAAGTTATGCATCCGTTAGCAGCAAGTTCCATGCAAAATGAAACTGCTTTTCACTCTCACCAGTCCTAAATAAACCCCGGAGATTTTTTTGTGCGGATTTGAGATTAACCTTTTGTGTTTTGGGTGTGAGTATTCTTACCATGGAAATATAGGTGTATGATCTCACGACATTTTCCTTATTTTTCTCAAGTAATTAATTATATAATACCCATTGACTATTTTATTTGTTTCTCATGTCATATGTAAATATTTAATTTTAATACATTGGCAGTGTACAATAATCTGTACGAGCAACTAAACAAAAATCACTTTAGGATTTAGAGTAAAATTCGTTCTCTCCTTCACTAATGAGAATATTAATTTCACACGCACTACGAAAATTCTTTTAATTAAAACTTTTTATTCTCGTTAAGGATTTTGTTTGGGATGGTTTTGAGTTTTTAGTTTGTGAAATTCGAATATAAATTTCAAAACAAATTCCCCCATAAAATTTGATCTAAAATGGTTTTTAACTTAATTTTAAAATATTTTTAAAATCAATTTCCAAAAAAATTGATTCAAATATCTTTTTAAAACTGGATCTCTGAACATTTTAATGAGTCAGATACTTGTTTAAGTGAAAATACAGGTTTCTTAAAGCAATCTTGTACGTTCAGCGAAAAATGTGCTGTCAAAGTTGTATATTATTCAGTCAAAGAAGCTCTTTTTCACTAGTTTCCATAAAAGAAATTTATTCAAATATATTTTTTAACTTGTTTTGATCAGTTTCATGATTAAATTTTGTAAATAAAATAATTAAGTAACTCTACTATGGGGTAGGCGAAAAAACTAAATTAAATTAAACTAAAATTGAAGTGAATTAAACTGTAATAAAATAATAATAAGAGTAGATTCAACTATTTTTAGTGGTTCAAACCGAATTAAAATAAACTTTTAAAATTAAATCAAACCTTAATTTATTTTACTCACAATTGTAACCTAATATTTGAAAAATACATGCCCATATTTAAATATACCACTTAACTATGTCACATTCACATTGTTAGATTTTTTATGATTAACTACACTTAGATTAGTTAATAATGGTAAATAAATAAATAAAATAATTTTGAAACTACATCTACCTTTTATTGTTTCCGATTTGAATTAGATTTCTTATTTTAAGGAATTATTTATCGTTTAAATAATAAATTTTAGTTTTTTAAAACATTTCTTTTCAAAGACAAATCAAAATATATATTTTGAACTATAATAAACTATTTCGAATTGAAAAACTTTTAAATTTGAATTAAACTACATTGGTTTCAAATAATTTATTTTTTTTCCAGCCCTACTCCTTTGATTTAACTTACTTTCAATACTACAAGCACGTGTTTGTTTGGTTAAACTTTTTTTTTATGGATTTCAGCTATTTCAATAATATAATAAGAAAAAGCTGTTTCTAGAAAGAAAAAAAATGATATTTACTATTCTTTTTAAACAATTTTTTTCTTTTTAATTTTGTACATATTTTTTTCTTATACAAAAATATGACTTTTTTTTTTATTCTAGTAAAATTTGATTCTGAATATAATGACCATAACGACAACTAATTGTTTATAAAAGAATAAAATTTCACGCCAAATAATTAATCAATTATTATACCTATTTGAAGCAATTAAATTGACAGCATTAATCCAGAACCGTAGCACAGAGGCAAGGTGGGCCGGAAAATGAAATTTGGGCCTGAGTCTAAGCCGAGGTCCAGTAAGTGTCGATATTCTGAGCGACTTTAGATTAGGGTTTGATTGTTTCCCTATATATAGTCACGTCTTGCTCGTCTTCTTCATCGAATACTTCATTTTCCCTTAGAATAGAAGAAAAACGTAGTTTGGTTGAATTGTATCTAAAGAGCAGGGATAGTGTGTATCGGTGTTTGCTCTGTTCAATGCACTCTTCCGAAAGTGTTCCCTGCGACATCGTTTTGAGAAAGTGGGCAGTTGTGTTTCATCCTTCATTGAAAATCACAACAATCATTTTCCCTACATCTTCTTCCCATCTCTTCCCCTTTCTGCATTTCAAAATTTTCAATCGCCTTATTTCATTTTACTCTAAATATATTCATATTCTGTTCTTGTTTTCTACGTCGCTGTTTCATTTTTAAACGAAATCACCATTCCCAGTGGAACAAAAGCAAAAACTGAACTATTTGCACACTCTGTTTTTTTCATACTAATTCTCAGCTTTGGTTAAAACCGTAACCTGAAAACATATGAATTTTAATTTTACAACTCTTAAACCCGGTTCACTTTAATCAATTAATTTGGATCCCTTATATTAAGGATTTGGACCAATTATTCAATATTATTTAAATTTTTTAATTATTGAATAAAAACTTTAATTTCATGAAATAAAAGTTAAACTTAATATTAATATATAATACTTTGAATTAAGAAGTTTAAATTAAAGAATGTCCTATTATTCGAAATGGGCACCAGTTGTTGTTTTAATTAAGTATTATTATCAATCATCATAAAAAATTTTGTTAAATATTATAATATATTTTTTTAAAGGTATTGCAATAAGTTTATTATAATTTAGTTTTTGCTAATTTAAGACGGTTCTGAATATTGTCTGAAACTCATCTACTATTAAAAGGCTCATATCAACTAAACCTGATTTTTTTCTAATGAAATTAGTAGTAACACTTTCTATTTTGAATACACCTTAATAACTAAAGTTTTATAAAATTAAATGATAAGGAAAATATCAGCTTATTTTATAAAAGAAACAAAAGAAATAAACAAAAGAAACAAAAACAATAAACAAAAGAAATAAAAACTAAACCTGATTTTTTTCTAATGAAATTAGTAGTAACACTTTCTATTAAAAAATGGCCCATGCAGGTCTCGAACCTGCGACCTTCTAACCAACTGAGCTAATAGGCCAATTATGTTTGTAAAGTGGAGTGCTTAAAGTTAATCTAAAACTGAATACACGCCTTTGGTTTTTGTGGTTTTTGTATATATTTATTTTAAATGACATAAAAACTTGTGCTGAATGTCAGTATTTTTAAGTACTTGCAAACATTTTATTAAAATAATTAATTTTAGTTAACATTGAATATCAAATCTAACGTATTCCTTCCAATAATTTAATTGATAGAAATTTACAAATAAAAAAAATATACATCTACGAAATTCAAAACCAGGCTATGAGGGAGGATTTCCAAAAGTGTAAGACTAAAACGACGTAAAAGTAAATTAAAAGAGCACATAATGATAATTAAATTTTAACTTGAAAATTGCACTCAATTATACTTTGCATTGCTCAAACTCAACTCGATGTCTTGTATTTAAGAAAATATTTCATTTCAACAAATCATTTATTAATTATTATACATTGATAATAAGATTTGTTAATTTAATAGATGACATATTTCATACCGTATGATTTTACATTTATATTATTTATTTCGAAACGTGACGAAAAATTTGTTTCAATTTTAATTTCATTTTTTTTACTCCTCTACATTCTAAAATACACAACATGAAAATTAAATCTATTATCCAATATTTCCCAAGTCAAATTCGAATCCGAAGAGAAAGCCATTTCAAGTCAAATATGAAAAAAAAACTGCGTCATGTCATGATCACTAAATTCCAAAAGCACAATAAATTGGTGTCATGGTCAATAAATTTGTGTCATGGTCAATAAATTTGCGTCATCATCACAAAATGGAAGATTTCCATCTTTCCAGTGCAGTATCAAAAATTACAATGTTACAATTCTATGTATATGTTGAAAAACAGTATATACAATTCTATGTATCTGAGTGAGTGAATACTTCAAGAAAACAAATCGTATGCATATTTTGGTACGATCTATGACCGAAATGGTTTAAACAGAAAGAAAATGAAGAATAATAAAAAGATTAAAATTTTAAACTCAGACAACCTGAGAAAGAAACTGATAAAACTAAACCAGGTTCTTTAATCTTTGATAGGAACAATCGTTTGTTACAAGAAAAACAAAAGTGTGCTAAAGAAAACACACTCTGTTACAAGCATCATCAGCAAAACAAACTAAAAAGTAATCACACTTCACTGCATTGTCCTCTTTATTGTTCATCTTGATTCTCCAAGTGAAAAGGCATATTTCTAAATAACCTTGTCAAAGAAATAGCAATCTTGAGTTTTTGGGTTGGATAACCACTGCTTTCCAACACCACTGACACTGTTTCTGGCTGCCATGATTTCATTGATCGAAAACCTTTTTCTGTGTTCAGGTCTTTGCTTTGGAGCACTGTGAGACCTTAGTTTGGCCTTAGAAGAGTGAGTGTTGGCCATGTAGTTAGGGAAATCGGAGCAGCTCCTGAAGGTGTCACCACAAACACTCTTCAATGGAGTAGCTGGTGTCGTACATTTTGATAGACGAGGGGTGTTGTGTGCTGAGGAGAACTTGTTACCTTCGTCAAGATTGAAGAACCATTCAAACTCTTGAGGGTGCTGACGCCTTTCATGAAGCGAGATTCGACCTTGAACTTGACATGGAAGAGAGGAGGACATTGCTTGATAATGCAGCTCTTCTCCACATTCAGACATTGCAGTGTTAATGCTCCGAGATCTTGAATGGGCCATGCGATTGTCAAACTCAAAAACTTTTGAGCTCTCGTCAAATCCATTCGATGGTGCCTTACAGTATATGCGTGGCCTTCTATTGTGAGATTGATAATTTCTTGTTGCATCAAACTGTTGCTGCTACGAGAGAAAAAATTGGCTTAAAAAATATGGCAATGTTGATGGAAAAAGATTGAACATGAGCATTTTTTTACCACATATTTTCTGGAAGGAGATTCTGGGTGAAATCTGTTCTCCTTGTCCATGGATCGACGAGCTCGAACCGATCGAGCAACAGCTTGAGCTCTCATCATTGCTTGCACACTGTGAAGAGTTGCAGCAACCCTTTTCCGAACTAGATACCCTCTGACAAGAGCCTGTATCTTAACCAATCCTTTGAGTGCTCTAAGAGCTTTTCGCGCCTGAATGCAACACATTGTTAAAAGTTGAATTCAAGTGCTGGTGTTACATGCCATGAATTGCAGAGTGTGTCAAAGATGTCAATAGTTTAAGTTATTAGAAAAAAAGAAAAAAAGAAAAAAAGTCACTGTTTCATCAATAACAGAAGAGTATTTTGGAATAAGAATGCAATTCAGCAAACAACAGCTCTGTAAGCTAAGAAAAAAATGCAGAACAAATAGCAATTAGATTTGATTTTCCTTGGAAGACAAAGTAATCACATACCAAATAACCTCTGAAAATGGATTGTATTGACACAGCAGCCCAGCCCTCCTTGCTTCCAATCATCAAGGTGTTTCTGCCACTCCTTCTTGATCTCTCAACTGCCACACCAGTGACCTGTTTGTTCTTCACCCCCTCTTTTTTGGCAACATAGAATCTGCTCTTAGTATGATCAATGGTAGATGGTGTAATGTGACTCTCTTCATTCTTCTCCGATTGTTTCTTTTCCCTCTTGTCAGTTCCCAGCGAGCCCGAATAGCCACAGCAGTCTCTCTCTTTCTTCATTCCCAGCAACCCCTTCAACCATCTAGTAGCTTTGCCCATGATTGGCCTCTTTCACCAGCAATCTGGAGCGTGAAAAATGAGAGATTTAAACTCCAATGTGAACTAAGTCAGGTCTGAGTGTATAGAGAAGGAGCATGTAATGTAGGTGAACAAGTATAGTAAGGAAATTAATACAAGTGGTGGTCAATGCAATGTGACAGCAGGAACTGGTGCAGTTTAAAGTTTAATAATAGTGATCGGAAAAAGGGTGAAATTCAGTGCAAGGAAGCGTCTACAAAATCTATCAGAATGCATGACAGAGGATGCAAGAAGAGAACAGGTTTTGGAAGAAAGGAATAGATTAATAATACTATATCATGTTAACAAACATCAAAGCTTTTTAAATGAAAGGATAACTGTGTATATTGTTTTGAAGACAAACCTCTGACACACACAAGGATGAGAGACAAGAATTAGAGACAAAGAAAGAAAGGCTAAATTCCATAGAAAAAAGTAATAATAATAACTGGAAAAAGCTTAACAAGGTCTTGAATTCAAAAGAGAGAAAGAGCCTCTAATTTGCTCTCCCACTCACTCCAATAATGGTCTCTGTTAACCTACAAAAGACATGGTCAATTAAATGTGAGTTTTCCACTGGTTTGTATTTTCCTACCACTGAAAAGCGTTCTAGCTCTTTTCTTCTCTCTCTCAATTACTGCAGGAACGTGTACTACTAAAGATAAAAGATACCAACTGACAAACTCATGATGGTTTCTGGTTCAAACCCTTCAACGCTGTGTTACCCTCTTTTGATGTACTAAACATCAGCATAGCCATTAAAAGGGAACTTATATCATCTTTTTGGTCCCAGGTAATGGGTCAAAATGGGTTTGTGATTTCAGTTTCTTTCTTGGAATGGAAAAAAGATCTTTCAGTTCCATGCAGTATCTTTCAACAGTGATTGCAGAAAACTTTCTTACAGATCATTCAACTTACATCCTTACCTTCCCTGCTGAAGTTTCTTCTGCTACAAAATCTGAAACTACACTCGAGTGAAAAGAGTATTTCTTAAAAGACTGAGGGGTGGAGGTGTCAATGGAATTTTCACGACCAATGCAATCAATCTAGATTCTCTTCCTCCTTCACATTTCCAAAGCTTTTGAGTTTTGACTCTCTTGGGGTAAACAAAATTAATAGCACCTTATTAATCATGTTTGATTTCGGTTGTTGGATTTTGATTACATTTTTTTCTTTTTTTCTTTTCAAATATTGGAGGTTTTGATTTGATTGTCCGATTTTATGGGGAGGTTTTGATACTGTTCCTTGATTTTTTCACTGTACATTTCTGTGGTTTTTTTTATACATTTGCTGCATATTATTTTAAATACAGATTTAAAGGAATACAAAACATAAAAGTATGAACGGTAATGATAATGTCTAGGAATGAAACAAAATTCACACGTCTCCTACATATTTGTGCGTAAAA